AATAGGTACATTTTCAGTACTTTAAATTTTACTATTTAGAATTGTTATGGTTCAAAATAATATTTCTATACACTTTCTAAAGTATTCTTTCTACAATATAAATCTAAATAACTTATACCTAAAACACTGACTCATATTTATTCCAATAATGTATTACTTTAATTACATTTATGTTCATTTGAGAAGATATATGAAAAACCTTTCGTAATAATAAATTATTAATATATATAGATAAATGGTATTTTTAAATATTTTTTCGGGTAAAGTGCAGAATCGCTCACTTATTTATTTAGCGTTTGTTTGGCGCTTTTTACAAGAGTAAAAAGAATTGGATTTTTTTCTTTTGACTTTTTAAGTGAAAATAGGTCGATGTGTACATGGATAAAGTCAAAGGAGTGCACAATGCCATTTTTGTGCAATTCTGGGATTTTTTTTAAGTGAAAATAGGTCGATGTGTACATGGATACCGAGTATGTGCAATTCTTAAAAACGCGCCAAGCAATGCCCGATTCTACACTTTCCCCATTTTTCTATAGGAATTTAGTTTCATTAAATTAGTTATTTAATAAATAGATACTTATAATTATGTGTATATGAGTATATTCATACTTATTCACATAGATGGAATTTTTACAGCACGAAAGTTAATCTTTTTTACATCAAGAACTACATATAGTATAAATACCCATTATGTTATTTATTTTATTTATATAAAATCTATTGAAGATTATATAGCACTAAAAATGATAAAATATCATACGCTATGAGATATTTCCTTAAATTCCCAAACTGTGCGTTGACAATTCGTATTTGTTGAGACTTGTAAATTTTTTAAAGTTCGTTTTGTTACAATATAATTTATTGTATTTTGGGTATTATTAAGTTTTTTATATTTTATCTTCCTGTTTCATTTATTTTCTGAGAGATACAGGTAACATTCAAAGTATCGTAACAAAAGGTCGACACAGTGTTTGTATATTATTATTTCTTCACTACATTATATTCTAGGATTCATCCTTTCTTCCACGCAAAACATCTATGTGTATGCGTGTTATAATAAGCTGCAGGGTGTTACTATCAGTGGTAAGCGAGCTTTAAGGGGATAGCAAGTATGCTAAATTTGAACTCTATATTAAGTTTCTAATTTGCAAGTCCCTTATTCTTTTTGCTTGCTTGTTAATAGTGTTTCTCTTCCTGAAAATTAGGCTTTCTTCTAGTTTTGTTTTTAAATTTGGTTTAGTGAATTGTAGATAACTTAAAATTTAAGCAGATGCTAGAAAGTGCCATCCCTTGGCAATACATTTCTCATTAGGTATCAAATTGTTAAACAAGCTGATGTGATTAAATACCATTGTTTAATTTCCCAATTAAAGAACTGAAATACAAATATATGCAGGGAGATACAGTACTATATGTATATATTTACAATCAAATCAATAATATTATTATACAGTCAAAGTAGTGATTCGCAACCATCAAATGATATGTATATATATGTAATAGATTCTGTAGTCGAATACAAGCAGCTGAATCCGTAATGAACAGCAAGAATTTTGATGGCTTAGAGATGTGAAACTCCAATCCACAATGAATAAGAAATTTGGCAGTCGAGGTAGACTTAATTCAACTTTTCTTTCAGCAAATATGTTGCAGTCGCAAACACGTTGGCACATTATTTATGCCTATTCCAAAATTTACATTTTTGATAAATGTGTAGTAAGAAACAAGGAGCAGACAGACTGCAATCCAGCTAGGCCAAAGCGTAGAAAGCAAATGCGTTATATTAAGGGTGAGATCTTAATTCAGATCAAGTTAATTTTGGTTCTCGATGCATTTTTATTTGATAATTAGTACTGCTTTAAAATTACTATTGGCTGTTTGAGTTTTAGTTCGTTTTACAACATCAAATTATGTAAGAGTCATATCACATGAATTAATCTCGAAATGATGCAGTGCAGAGGGATTACTATTTTTAGAATAGAGAAGGAAAATTAATTTTACGCTGCTAATTTAATCTTTTGCTTATTCTTTATTTTTCTTAGATATATATATGTACATATATCATTCGATGGATGTGAATCATGACTTTAATTATTATCTTTCTATTCATTTTATTTTCTAAATTATATAAAGGGAGTTTAAAGTTTTGTAAAGAGAATTTATACAAATATTTTGTAATACGTTTATAGATATTGACGTGCATTGAGAAGGGCAGGGGCTTGTAGGCTTCTAGATATTTTAAATTTTTTATTTATTCACATTGAATTTTATTTAAAATTACTCTACATGCTTTCTCTGCCATTTAATTCTGTACATTTCATCAGTGCTAATTATGTACTTCTGCTGGTTTATGGTTTTATGGAAATTTGACCTACAGTTCTATTTTTGTGTGCTGTTTTTACAGGGATTCTGTATATGGATACCCGTTCTATGTGACTCCACTATGATATAATTATATTGGTTTTGCTTATGGGTTTTTGTGTATTGTTTTGTGTAGCGATTTTTCCAAGAGGTACCTTTATTAGTCTGTGGATATTTGTGTAGTTGTTTTTACAGGATTTGGCCAATGGGTGCCTGTATAGGTGTACGTGCTTCTGTCTAATGGTTTTTACGAGGCATAGACCTACGGAATATCAATTTTTTAATGGAGATTTACCAATGGATATACATAAAGTTCTGATTTCTGGCTATGGGTTTTTACAAGGATTTCGTTTATAGTGTCTACAGTTCTACAGGTTTCTACAGAGATTTGGCCTACTCGTATCTGTACAGTCATACGGGCTTCTGTTTACAGGTTTTTTACGGGTATTTGGTCTACCGGTACCCGTACAGCTGTGCAGGTTTCTTTCTATGGGTTTTTATGGGTATTTGGCCTACGGGTACCCGTACAACTGTACGGGTTTTTTATGGGTTTTTACGGGAATTTGGCGTACGGGTACCCGTACAGTTGTACGGGTTTCTGTCTGTGGGTTTTTACGGAGATTTGGCCTACGGGTACCCGCAGAGCTGTATGGGTACCCGTAGGCCAATCCCCCTTTAAAAACTTTTATGGGTTTCTAGGGGTATTTTTTAGCAGGGTAGTTATCACTTAAACTGCTTAGAAAGTTAAACACAACGCATCGCATAGCACATCTAAGAAGCGAAGCTCTCACGGACATTTCTCAGTACTCCGAACTCAACTCTGAACTAAAATTGGGAACTGTTACGGATACATATTATAAAGTTACTAATATGGCCCCAGAAGGGGCCTTAACATGTCAGATAAGAAAATTGAGCCTCTGAGGTCACATGAGTTTGACAAGGTAGCAGGTGAAAAAACGGGGAACTGATGCTCTTTCCGGTTTTGTATCGTTTTCTCCAGGCCGCCAAGAAATTTCCAGGACCTTCGATTTCTCTAAATTCCTGAAAGGCATATACGGTTAAAGTTACATATAAGAGCCGGTTATGGTAACAGTTACATATAGACTTCCACTGTTTAGGCATTATCCTGCTTGGTATAACCTTAGGTCAGGAGCCTGCAAAGTGGCGTTCAATTACATGTAGGGATCAACTGCAGTTATTCAATTACAGTTATACAGGGACAACGCCAAAATGCTGCCTAATGGTCCCTAAGCTGTCCGACTTTTGGAGGTTTCTCGCCAACTTTGGCGACAGAAATTAGTCACCGAAACCATCACCACTTTGGCGATAACTCCAATTTAGCGAGACGGCCATTTACCTCAATGTTAAATGGTTTTGCCCCTGTGATCTTATTTTTCCGGCAGTGCTTCACTTTTCTTGAAGCCGTTCATATTGCATTTTACAAAACTCGTAATAATATATATTGAAACTTGCGCATATTAGATATCATTATATGCCGCCGCGCCCACAAAAGTCCTTACCAAGCCTTTATTTTCGCAACAGTTGGTCTTAGACACACACTTTAATTTACAAAAATGTTTTAAGTGATGCAAATATTTATGTTTCGTCACTTTTTTAAAAAATCAGTTTTATAAAATTATGAAATCTATTTTATAGTCCCCCTGGTCCTTAAACTTAAATTTAGAGAAATTTTATTCTCATTTTGAAGAACAGAAAACAAATCCCATACGACAAAAATTGGCCAATATATTTAATAGAAACATTTGGGACATCTGAAAACATTTTCACCTTTGGTCTTTCGTGATTTATAAGTGTGTAACATTCTTTAATTTATAATTATGTTACATGCCGAAAGACTTTTAGCACAAGTAATTTATAAGTTTTTAAACGCTGTAAATACGTTATTGATATTTTCATGAAGCTTTAGTACTTTAGAATCGTAATCTAATAATCAGAGAGAAAAAATAATTAAACTAAAAATATTTATTATTTTTAATTTGGGCAAATAATGTAACATTACGACTAATATTACTGCAACTAATACGGTACTAAATTACTCTTACGATAGCCTAGTAATCGACTATTACGTACTAATGACGACTGACATGATTTAGTATGATTCTTGGAAAAGATGCCAGACTTTAAGATTTCTATAATCAAGTGAATTCTTAAATATTTGTCAGGAAAGCTCTTAAGCAACCAAATTTTTTTAACGTGTTTTTTTTCCCATTCGCTTTTCAATGCCCTCTTACTGCCCATCGGACCAGAAAAACGATTCTCAGACCTCGTCAGTGCTCACCAGAGGACGGTAACACCTATATTGGGAACCTACGCTTTAAGTTAATCTTAATTATGAACTTACTCTCCTTCTTTTCAATTTAAGAATATTATGCTGATTATCTATGAAAGCACACACAATTTTTGTCTTCCGTTTAGAAAAGCGTTGGAAAACTAAGAATGCATATATGAATTCAAGATTCTTATCAATAATGATAATAACTTCCTATACCTCTGTTTTTAAATCCATTATTTTTACAGAATAATTCTCTGTGTGGATAAAAATAATTACAAATATCAACTGGAGAAAAGGTATACTTAACCAATTTAATTTTTAAATAATTACATGTATTATTTTTCAGTGGCTGAAGAGATTGAACAAAGAAGAGACTAAAACATCACTGTTTCACTTAGAAGGAGTTTCTTATCGCGCCTTAAATATATCTTTTTCTGATGGCACAGATACGTACGAAGGACTCTACAGATCCAAATTGCTGATTCGGAATGCACGCATCCAAGACTCTGGGACGTACGTTTGCCTTGCCCTCAATGATAAAGGCTTCAGCTTCAAAAACGTTACTTTGACAGTTGAAAGCAGAGGTATGTGTCAGATGTACGTTAGTCCACAAAACTGACGACATCTTTTGAAAACTATGCATTTTTGAAGTTAAAAACTTATAGGAGTAACATGTTTTAAAGATATACCAAACAGCATACAATACTAACATGTATACTAACTATAACTAATACCAGCATACATACGAGCTTCAATGGTTTTTAACTTAGAACATAATGCAATAGATTTTATGAAAACTCATAATTGCTGTACGTACTGAACTGTGAGAATGGCTATTTCTTACTTTCTTACAGTTTCTATTGGTATCTTGTTCGGAAACATTTAGCTAAAATTATAGCCTAACTGTGTCACCTCGTGGAACGAACCTAGGGTTTCAATCCATCAAACGTTATAAAATCGTATAATTACTTATTCTGTGGTTCTATCTGTCTGACAAGCTTTTTTAGCCATTTCCGAAAAATACCAACTGGGCTTAGGTCGCGGTTATTCACTAGACATTCTAACAGCGCGATAATCATTTTCTTCAAACTATTTATAGAAGCATGATTTTCACGGGACAGAAGCATGTCAAGGCACAGAGTCCTGAAGAAATAATCATTATCACGGAAAAGGTTAACGGCTCATGGTATTAAGCTGAACTCTAATAGATCAATGATGAATTATCTCTATTTTTTAAAATGCTATTAATCGCACAAATTCATCCTACACTCTTTACTTTCGCAAAGTAAGACTAGTTGATGTTTCATAGTAGGTCCAATAAATCTCCAAATCTTCTTCTGACGCATTTCATTTCATCATTATCAAATATGAATATTTTGTTTTTTTCACTCCAAATAACACTAATTTGTTATTATTCCTGCTAGTTAATGCTCTCGCCATTCTGATCACCTTGTCTGAAAAATATCTTTGTACGTGTTTGTCTGAAAGGGGGAAAAATAGTATTTCCTTAAATTCTGACGTTCAACCCAAAATTTTGAAGTCTTCGTGAAATAATCCTAGAATTTTAACACCACATTTACGTAAATTATCTTTTATTGCCTCAATTGATTTCCTTCTGTAACTAAAATGCAGTGTTTTACTTATATCACAGCATGATATTTCTGCTTTTACTAGTTTGGTCAGTGGAATATGTTTGTGCTTATTTCACGATTTTGAAATTTCTGAAGCCTACTTTTGTCGAAATTCCATCACAAGAGTTACCTTTTTGAATAAACATTTTTCAATGTGTAATTTTTCTTTTACTTTGCTAGTCATTATAAACAAGTTACGTGGCTTATAAAAAATTTCAGTGAAAAACAGAACAAAAAAAAATTAGTGACAAATTTACAAATTTGTTTAAATAGTATGTTTTGCTATCAGATCTTATAGCAAAGGATGTAAGATTACTCATGCTTACGCCTTTCTGGATCTATTTTAAAGGCATCGCTAAATCTGATTGACTATCGGATTTCAATTTCAGGAATCCCAGTTCATGTATGCGAATTTTATTTTCGTCCAGATTTACTTAGTTATAACATTTTTTGTAACAAAGATAATTCACTGATTTAAACTACATAATACTTTGCATAAAATTATCTTTCCAGTGATGTATAATTTTATAGGATTTACTTTAGATATTATAAAGTTATCAGAGATGAAACTTTAAAAACGCGTATTTTCCGGAAGTTTTCACAATATTGACCAGTAATATCTATTCTTAGCTAAATACGGAAATAAATCCGTTTAAGATATTTTTCTATTGTCTGTTTAAAAGTTCGTAAGTATAAAAATGTCTTACATGGAAGATCTTTCAATATAGAATGTTTGATTTTTCTGAAACTAATACGGCTAATTTCGCACCTTAAAAAGACGACTATTAGGAGTTATTACATATATAATTTTACCACCAAAGGCACAAGCACTAATACCTCTTAGGTATTTCAAACTAATTTATTTTTGAAATAAGGTGCATGGGCTAAGGATGGATATAATATAAGGATTTTTTCTCTCTCCCTTCCTTTGTATTTCGTCCAGCATTCAAAGGGCAAATTACGTTTTAGTAATCTAAGCTGATATATTGATTATGAGAATCCTCATTTGTAATTAATTGATTGATTAAATAACACTTAATATTGTGCATTTATTTTTTTAACGTATTGATAAAATGAGAGTGCTCTCAAAACTTAATTTCGCTATATATATAAATATAATTTTATGCTGAAGTGTTATAAATAATTATTATTGTAAAATAGTATTTAATTACATTAATCCAATTATTATTACATTAATACAGCATTAATTTCTTATTATATTAGCATTATTACAGTATAATTAATATCATAATTATAATAATTATATAATTTCTGTAATTATTTATATATTAATTTCTATAATTATTTAATTCTCGTTGTGTAATTATCATATTATTATAATTAATTACAATAATAGTATTATAATAATTATTGTTATCATAAGAATATTTTCTCCGAAGAATATAGTTTCATGAATTTTAGAAGTCCTGTTTAAAAATGAGCAATGAAATAGCATATAAAATTTGTATGCATTACTATGATTATTTTTTTTTAATCCACGGGCTGCGAACGCATAGTTGCCAACCTTGAAATATGAAAAACCGGGAGGTTCACCAACTAAAAACCACGAGTTTCCAGGAGATTTCCGTGCTGTAAAGCTGTACCGTTCTAAAAGAACTCAAATTCATTTAAATTCGTTTTATAATACATGATTCAGTTTATTCAGTATTTATAATATGATTCTGATGTAAAATATACTAATATTACACCTTCTAAATTTTATGTTCTTTAGCTAATCTCATTTTGGAATTTTCTTACGCTTTTATACTGAGAAAATTCTGAGTTGGGAAGGAAATTTTTAATTTATCAAAGTATTTTTAAATATGCCGAACATAAAATTATTTTTCATATTTCCTATTCCGAAATGGGTCTATGGCTCTAATATTGATGTAAAACAAAATTAAATACAAATATTTAATGATTAAACATCTGGTTGAATCTTCATATTAAGTTTCAAGAATGTCAACGATATGTTTAAGAAAATTCAGATCAAATAAAATTTAGAAAAATTACGCTGATTATCACTAGGGATGGGGGAATGAAATTTACACAATATTAGGCTTCATTAATTCAATAATTATACATAAATTGTGAAAATTTTCTTTGCACAATTTAATTTTATTGCTAAAAAACACTTTCATTAGTAAAGGCTAAAAATTTAAAAACCGGAAGATTCGTCGATCTACCCGGAGATGCGTAGAAAAACTTGGAGAGTTGGCATCTATGCGAACGAATAGAGTCTAGCATCTATATTTGTAAATATTAGCCAAAGTAGCAATAGACATCTGATAGCAGGATTATAGAGGATACCATTTCCCTTCCTTCGGTAGTTATCTGCCTCTTTCCGGCAAACAGAGAACTTTCGTGTGAACCTTCACCCACATATCTAACTCCTATATTTAACTCCCCTCTCGGATGAATTATTTTGCCAAATTGCCAGCTAAGGTTTGTTAGCAATGGATGAAGTATATCCAATGCCTCAAGGAAATCAGATTCACCATCTGATAAGTTTTTTAGGGGATTTACATTGCAGCTAAGTTTAATTTGTGGTTTTTAGCCCAACTATGCTCGAAAACATAAGATTTATTTACTACCTTTTTTTCGAACTTTAAGACTCATGCTTTCTGACGAGAAATTTCAAAGACCGCTTTGTTTATCCAATGTATCGCAAGGCGCATTGAAAGAAAATGGTCTAAATTCCCCAAGGATGCGTATCAGGTCTTTAAGGAAGCAGCACCATATTTTATTGACAGGAGAGAAAATAATATGAAAGTTATATTTCAGCAAAATATGTAACTGATAGTAGGAAGAAAAAATATATCGACTAAATTATTAATATTCATTGCAGCAGGAGAATGTCCGTTCTTTTCAGAACTGGGAAAAAATTATGGCTTCCTCAATTATTTGTGCTGAGAAATTTATATAGATTGCAACAGGTCTCAAATACTTCAGTTCTTAATCAAGCTTTCCAGGTTGCTCATTGGATGATGCACTTCTAAGCCAGTTAGCTCCACCCTACGGACTTTTTCGGACGATGTTTCATCTGTTAGACTTCTGTGCATTTAGACTTCTGAAGCCAAGCTGTGCACCGGCCCACAACATCATTGCCATGGTGCTGATTTTATAAGACGGACTTTGTTAACAGAGTAACTCCTGGATATATGCGAAGAGTTATTAATCGGCAATAATGAGATTTTACCCCCAGCTCGGTTTTTCACATACGTCATGTGTAAGAAAAGTTATGCGATGTTGCTACGCGGTTAAACTCAGGATGAGGCTTGCGCCCAGGAGCCTGGCCAAACGTGACTTGCACCTAAGTCTTCCTAATCAAAGAATTGAATTAAAAAAGCAAATTTTAGTGCATTGAAAATAATATTAGAAAAGTATGTTTAGTAGCATGAAAATATTTAGTAAGTGGGGGAAAACAAAGAAAAAGACTTCTGATATGTTGTGGTATCAAATCTAGAATTATCCTGTGCGAATATAAATAAGAAAAAAAAAAGGAGGGGAATTGGACGTTTCAATTTCAAAAGAGAACTGAATGGCTGATCTATAGAATTCAGTTCAACTGAAAGGACGTGAGTTTAGGTCACCTATATTGCCAACAAGGACAGCGAATGTGTCATTGACGTAAAAACTCCAAAAGAGAAAGCTTATTTTTTAAGCATTTTTAATTCAAAATAATGCTTGTAGATATTTACGAAAATAGAATTGAGAAGATTAAATACGGTTAATCTTTCAGTCTGATGACAATACGTGTTTTGGAAATGTCAATAAATAAAGTTTCGACATCAAATGAAGCCGAGAAAATAACAAGAAATTTTTTTTAAACTTATCTACAAATTCTAATGACTTCTTTACCGTGGCAGAGTTATCTCTATAAACTCTATTACTTAGTTATTTTACTACAAATAGAACGCCGGGCCTAGATTAAAAATGCTGAAACAAACTGGAATGCTAGTTTTGTGAATTTGGAGAAGGGTGTCCAACCTAGCAGGAGTAGCAATGGATGAGATGACTTTTTAACTGCGTTGAGGATTTTGCAGTCGTTTTTATTTCTGACAGATCTGAAAATAAGGCATCTTTAGGGATCAAGTCATGTGAGTTTTCTTCTAAGAATTTATTTACAACTTCAATGTATTCATGGCAACTATTTGACCACCTTTCTCAGCTTTAGAAATAATGACATCAAGGTCGGAACGGGTTTCAAGTAAAACAGCCATCTTGTTAACATTAAGATCAGAAGTTAGGTTTTTACCGTTGAAGTTAATATTATGTGTGAAGAGACGGTAAACTATTTCATTCTGTGTTTCTGACACTTTCACATTTCGAAGCTAAGTTTTAAAGAAAAGCTAAGTTCGAAGCTAAGTTTTAAAGTTCGACTGGGGCTAAAATTTGGGTAACTGAAGGTTTAGAAATCACCTAAAAAATATAAATTGTATGTAAGCTCATTCTTTTCTTGCTCTGATAAATTGACACTGAAGATATTCATTATATGATTCACATTTATTATGCGAAGGTTTTTCAGAATTTTGGACGCTGTACTGCTAACCAATGTGTTTATTGAATTTCAAAGAAAATATCATTTTGTGCCGCTGACAAGTCGCCAATGTTTCAGATCAAGATTTCTGTTCTGTTGCAGAGAATTTGAAATAGAAATGGCGAAGTCCAAACTAAGATTATATAGTTCATCTTCAAGTCTAAAGATTTTTGAAAAAATTTAATTACCGTATTTGCCGGCGTATAAGACGCATCCCCTTTTTTACACACATTTTGGAGGATAAAACTTTATTACTGATCATTATAATGAATTTATAGTATTTTAAATATAAAGTGCAAAGTAATACACAAACCCAGTCTATCTGGGAAAGAACACCTTTTAATCCTCTTCATCAAAACCCAGACACTCATCTCCAGAACTAAATGAAGTCACTTGAGACCTCTACTAAATCAGTATCTGAGTCCTCATACAACAAATTGTCCTCTGTACCATCCAGTACATTACTAATGCCACACTTCTTAAATTATTTAACCTCTGTCTCTGTTTTCAGAGCATCCCATGAAGCTTTTGCATTCACAAACTTGCGAAATATTAGGCCTCTTCCTTCTTCTTGATGGTGTAACCTCAAAATTTGTATGCTACGTTATAGCAATGCCGACGTTGTTTTTGAACCATAACTTGCCAACAAATTTAAGAAAATTGAACAGGACAGGAACAAGTACAAGGGGCACCACGCCATCGCCATTTATCAGGGTCAATGTTCCTTCTAACCTTCTTCGGGAACATACAAGGACCTGACTCGGAACAGAGAGCTTACTAAAGCTATGTTCACTAATTGTGGTAAGTAGACAGGATACACATGAAGGGTATACAAAACCCTTTATTTTTCTCTATAACAATAACTTCCGTACTTCGGAATACACTGACCCGCTACTCGGGGTCTAACGTAAAAGTATAAAAATAAAACTAAACTCTAATTTAACTTTAGAATAATAAACGTGGAAGATTGGCCTTATAATAACAGGAAGCGTATGTAGCACAGAGACTGTGAACACTACAATACGTTTAAATTTATCAAGAGGATTAAAACCTCTGGCCTGGAAGGCAAACAGCAACTGCGTAACTTCTAAGGTAAGCGGCCTGCTTTGACTCAACTGCTTCCTCTCTCTCGCTTGCGAAAAGGCCACAACTTAAATACTTGGCGTTCGCCAGACAAACTTTGCATAAAAACCTTCACGCTTATAATTCTGGCCGGAAGTAGAAAATAAGAAGTGATAGTAAAGATTTAAAATAAAATAAACGTTAGTAAAACTTAAGATCCTTACACATTGACAAAAAGTGGAAATTTCACACGCTTAAAAGTCGTTCACAAAAATTTGAAAGCTTAAACGAACCCAGCTGTGATCGTCGATGACAGCACATGCGCATTCACTGAACTCTATGTAACTGTAATATTCCCACACTTCCCCAAGGAAACAAGAAAAAAAATCGCTTAACTCCGAATAGAGGAAATTTCCAGAAATGAATGTAATTAAAAACTGAGTATCAACATATAAGACGCAGTATCGACGTATAAGACGCACCCCGTTTTCCAGGCCTATTTTCAAAGGAAAAAAGTACGTCTTATACGCCTGAAAATACAGTAGTAAATATTGTCGAAATTTCGTATTCTTAAAGAAGCATTTAACAAAATTTTCCATTTCTAAAGCCTGTTCTTGATATGAATTCTTGGAGCATTTCGAGCATTTCTCATCAATTCAGCTTAAAATATATTACATAATCAAGATTTTCTTTAAAATTTCGCGTTACAGAGCATACGACTTATGTTCTTGGCTGGGGGGGGGGAACGAATGAACTAAATGTTCTGTTACCCAGCATTTTCGGGCTACGAACCACAAATTCAGCTTTGCTTCTGCGAAAAGTCATCCGAAAGCCTCTTCAGTTAAGAAATTCCATTCCTAGATAGTACCCCCCCCCCCAAATTTTTTTGTCTTCATTATACAAGGTCTCGTGGTTAATAGTATCTGAAAAAGTATTGAAAACTCGTCAAACTGGCTTTCTGTTTGTAGAACTTGCATTGATTTGCAGATGAAGAAAGCGCAAGTGTTGAATCTCTGAAAGCTATTCGGTTGAAATAAAATCTACGACAATCAAAATTGTGTTTTCTTACACTTGACGTTTTATTCTTTCTCAAAAGTATTTTGCGTAAGCGACACAACGGAAATGTCTTGAAGTTGCTAGTCAATCCTGATTAAACTCTCCCGATTTCCTCGGTTAAATAAGAAATTTTTAAAAATGCATACCAAACTGAATGTTTACACATATCAAAATTCAGTACTTTTGCTTGCAATCTCGGATAAAAATAACCTAATGTAATTCGCTAGACAATCAGCGCAATTTCCTTCCTCCTGAATCTGAAAAAGCTCCAGCAACTTGTCTCTCAAAATGAACTGAGATTCTATATTTATAATCAGTGCCAAATAGAACAATTGCTACCAATTTCAATAGGATTGATTCAGTTTGAAAAATCGAAACAATGTTTACAATGCTTTAAAATCTTAAAATGATTACATATACCTCAGGAATGACATAGAACAATTGAAAGCTTAGTTTTAACTACTTTAAATATATAGTCATGCATAAGAAAATAGCATTTCGAGAAGTAAGAAATGGAATAATTTTTAATGTTCCATTTATTATGTTACATATGGAGAAAAATTTACTTTTTGTTTTCTTTCTTTATTTCAGTAATGTCTTCAAACTCTCTCGGGATGAAAGTTGGAGCAGGCCATGCAACAAATTTTACCCTAACAATCGCTCTTGTAGTGATTTTGGCAATAGTTGCTGTAATAACAATCTCTTTGTGCCGCAAAGGAAGATTTTTTTCAGAGCAGAAAAAAGCGCCTACTACACCAATAGTTGAAAATACTTACAAAAGTTTAGGAAGGTCAAATACTGAAATCAAAAACTGCAGCAGCAAAGACTACAGTTTATGTATAGAAACTGCTGATCCTCCTTCGAAATCCAGACAAAGCCTCCTTCAAAATCCAATGAATGTATCCTTATGAGGGCGCAGAAAATCCGAACTCAAAATTAAATTAGCTACTGCTGTGTATTATAAAATCAAATTTAAATACCTCACATTCTTTGTAAAACTTAGTGACTACTCATGTACGTAACAAAGAATATATGTTGCAACTCTTCTCAAGGTTTACCCAATGAATAAGATTGTTCTTGAGTAAAGAGCAAGACCAGTCAACAGAAGAAACTATCTTCTTGGCAGAGATAATGGACGAGCTTCCGTGCCTTAAATATAGCCATTATTAAGTTTGATGTATATTTAAGAAGAGAACTATATTCCGTACCGCAAATGTAATGAATCTAATATTTCAGTTCTAAAAATCACATGAAGAATTTGCCATTCAGTGCAAGCTATTTCGAAAACTTCTTATTGGTAAGGAACATACTTCTCGACATACAAAGGAATGACTTATTTGTGCTCATACACTTCGAAGTATTGTAAAGATATATATAAACAAAATACCTGATTTCTACTTTAGACTGCTGAAAGTGCAATAGATTGGTCTTTTTTGTAAATACAGTACATCTACAGAATGTTAAAACAGAATTTTTTCACCAATCTCAGCAAAGCTTCTAAACGATAACTACTGGCAATGACAACTTGTACAGATTAATCTACTTTAATTAAAATTTCGTCCGTTTACGGTAAGAAATTTAAATGTAATTTTTTACAATGCCCGCTTTTATGGAATCAAGGACCAGAAAGCGAGAAGCAACAGCGTTCTCTTCGTACTTAGCAGCTATCATCAAATCGTTGACTACAAGTAACTAACGTGTTACTGCTTTTAATCATCTGTTTTACTCGGTAGATTTCATACAGTAGACTCCTTTCAGTTCTCTAAAGAAAAGCTTTAGCAAAAGACACTGTTTTAGAAGTATTTCAGGTGTCTAGGAAAACAGAGCGAGGGAGTTAAAAAAAGCATTCTAAATAGTTGACGTCTTTGTGAAGCTCTACGAACGTGCAAGATATGTAGTATCGGAAGGATGTATGAATAATAAAAGCAGTGATGAAGTTTATTTCAAATATGGATTTTTTATGCAGTCAGTGCTAATAATCTGTAGACGCTCTATGAATGTTTATGTACATTGCTGTATCTATCCACATGTAAATACGAAGCATATTAATTCATCATGAAATTTAGAAAATGAAATTCTTCGTATTGAAGGCATTTACCACACTTCATGTTCATCACTCATGCTCGTAGTACTTTGAAATAAATGTGCATTATGTGTAACTTTATGTAACTTTTATGCAGATATTAATAATTTCATTTTATTATTATTCAAAAATAATAATTTGAATGAAATTCTAATAACGTAAGCACTATTTTTTCGAAATGTTTTGTTGTAGATTAAATTGCTAAAAATGGAAAACTTCATAGTTTACCAATTAAATATAAATGAACATTGCTTGTTCATAAAAGATCACATATTTAAACAAGCAGAAGTCAATCTCCAACAGCTACGCAAAATCGTCCATCTGAAAAGTTACGCAGAGGGTCATGAATATCAACCGCATGCATATATTTCTGGATAATACATCTAACAGATGTCTACTGGATATTTGATTTAATTTGTTCTTAAATCTTATCTATAATTTGTATATCTCTGAATATCTACTTCCTTCTTTCCTTCTTAAATATCTAATGAATATCCAGGCCTAAGTGTATTTGAATGTATGCAAGCTAGAAGTTTAACCTATATATAAAACAATCAGTTCCAATATTTTGTACTAGGCCTGAATAAATAATTGCAAAATTTAAAACGCATTGTATACCAGAGTAACTATTTATGCACTAAAATGTATAATATTGCATGTTCTATCATGCATATTAAATGCACTAGAATTGTGTTAATGAGGTTATTAAAATCATTATGTACATGCATCATTTGTCACCTGTGAACTATTAATATTTACCTGTCGAATTATTTCAGTTATACGCATTTCATTCTGTAATATACTCACCTAAAAAAAAATAAAGTGTTTTAAATTTTATGTATGATTTCTTTATTGCATTTTCCTATTCGAAAAGTGTTTGGTGATTATTGTTTAGCTTTAAATATCGAATGCATGTAATTCATAGTTTTCAGCATATCTCAATTTTAAAATAAAATTATTTTATGTGCATGATTTAAAGCTTAGAAAGGATAATGGGATGTGCATCTGTATCACACTATGATATTAATAAATTTAGTAAGTGATCTTTAAGTGCCATAAAACTGTGCATCCAAGATGTTCGGTATGTTATATATGACACAGTATCTGATATCTCAACATAACCCGTTCTCATAATACTTGTACTAGATATAATTTTCTGCAGTTTGTTTCATTTCAATCTATTTCAAATCCCTGAAGTGAAATAAAATTATGTTAGTTTCAGAGCAAAATATATTATCAGTTACAAATATATATTTCTATCAATAGATTACTCGAAGTCCATAATAGCTTAATTACTTGTATTAATTGGCCTGAATCATATAGAGTTGAATACATTTAGAGTTGTAACATATTTAAACAAAATGATTATACTTCGACAGAACATCCTCCCCAAAAATGTATTTTGAGAAGGGAAATTGTACAACGGCAACGGCAAAGAAGCATGTAAAAAACGATATCTACTTTTTAAGAATTCTCGGTTTTATCTTAAAATACTTCCAATTTCCCTTCTCAAAATACATTTTTGGGGAGGATGTTCTGTCGAAGTATAATCATTTTGTTTAAATATGTTACAACTCTAAATGTATTCAGAGTCAAGTTGTAGAGACATTAGGATATTTTTTGGAAGCAGCCAAGATGAAAAATTAACAACGCCTTCCCCGGGAATCGAACCACGGACCACTGGAATACCGGCCCAGCGTGCAGAACACACACTACACCACCAAGGACGCTAGGAAAGTGGGAGAAATACCTTATATACTCCCCCCTTTTAAAGGGCAACTAGGGTTTTAGGGGACCTTGTCGCCGAATCCTGGCTTTGGAGAATCATCATCCAGAACCCTTTTAGTTCGGGCGCCACTTGTAGAGTCGTTAGGTTAATTGGAAGCAGAAAAGATGAAAAATATGCAACCGCCTTCGCCGGGAATTGAACCACGGACCTCTGGAATACCGGCCCAGCGTGTTACCGTTACACCACGAAGGCATGCTAGGGAAGTGGGAGAAATACCTTATATACTCCCCTTTTTTATAGGGCGATTGGGGTTTTTAGGGGACCCATTCGCCAAATCCTGGGTGTGGAGAAACCTCATCCAACACATTTTTAGTTGGGACGCCACTGTAGAGACATTAGGTATTTTTTGTAAGCAGGCAAGATGAAAAATTAGCAAACCGCCTTCGCCGGGAATCGAACCACGGACCTCTGGAATACCGGCCCAGCGTGCTACCGTTACACCACGAAGCCACGCTAGGGAAGTGGGAGAAATACCTTATAAGATCATGCTTTTTTTATATATTCATATAAGCCTTTGTATCTGTATATCACCTAAAATTCGTGATTTTGGAGATTTTACTTCTCGAAACCCATTAATCCCTCTATTCGATTCAGATGTATTGTGAATTCACTATTCATTTTCATTTAAAAAAAGTTAATCTTTAGAAGAACTCAATATATTTGCTAGTTACGTAAGTACGAAAATTAAAGTATAATCCAACAACTGGAAACTGTTACTGAATATGATAGTATGTATGATTCAATAACAGTTTTCTACTATTATTCAATCAGCTTTTTGAATTACATTGTTAGTTACTGTTTTAATGTAGTTCAAAAATTACGTTGGTCTGAATATGAATCATTCTTTTAAAAGCATAAAATAACAGCTACTTAATTTGTTCAACCACTATTAATTAGTTAACTTCTGCAGAAATATTAGATCATTTGGATGTATTTTTATCAAGGCATTATGCTGAAGAGATTATTAAAAAAAATTTGCGTTTGTTCAAATATTTCGCTAAAAACTTATTTCTGATATCTTATGGACTTTTGATAAATTTCAATAACTATTTTATTTGACGCGAACAGTTATTTTAAAAAATAGTTAAGTAATATTTTGTAGCTAGTGACGAAAAATTGTTTAGAGTTTATTACATTTATTTGCATTCAGTGTAACGTTTCCCTTTCCCTGAAGAACACTTGGGTCACCCACCCTAAAGGAAGGGGCAGAGAACCCTCTTCTCGCTTCGGCCGGAAGAGGCAAGCGGACTTTCCCCCTGGTCGAGATTGAAATGTGGAAGAGAAAAGAGTGGACGCTGGTTTGCGAGCTGTACTGTTGTGAAAATGTATTTTAAAGTTTTTCTAAAATGTAATCTGTACATAGTTATGCATATAAGTAAATATTTAGCCTAGAAGAGGTCTTGTTTATTTGACGAAGTTACGACTATGTTACATCAGTTACTTGTTTAATTTGGCACAAAAATTTAACCTATGGTAACAAACTATCATTTATAATATTTTTATAAAGTGTAACGGTTTCGAGAAGTAACGGTGTATCAATTTTTAAGCACTTAAAAACAGCTTAATTTTTTTCCCTTCACTTTTTATTTCCTGGCTAAAAAAAAACCCTCTGTTTTTTAAATTACAGTAGCAGGTTTGAAATGTGTTGTGAAACTGATTAGTACCTTATTTCTTCATTTAATGGCTGTCATCGAAGTAAAAAAGAAAAAAAAAAGGGGTGTTTTCCCTTTCGACCTCGTGACGTGAACCGATTGAGATGTTTAAAAACTTTAGGGGACGGTAAAATGTACCGGAAATTGTTATAATATATATATTTTAGTATAATTGTATTATGTTGTAGTGTAGATCTAATATAATAAGATGAATCAATTTCTTCGAGCCTTTCTTTCCCATGCATCAGCATTGGTTTCGATTCATCATCACTATACCCAGGTAAGTAAGTTTTTAAGTTTTGTCTTTTGTTTTCTGGATTGCTCTGTATCTTGGATGAGTGAAAGAAATATTTTTATTTTAATGATGAGGCTATGTTTTACTAATAACATAAAGTGGCGTCCGCGACAGGACTTTAAGAAATAAAAAATATTATTTTAAGGGTTATAGATAGTTTTTGATGTATTAAAGTATAATTAAGTTTGAATTCGAAACTATTTTGTAAAGCATTTTGTTTTATTTTAAAAGTTAACTATGGAAACTTTAAAGACCCTGAAACTTAAACGGACAGGTTTACGCACTTCTTTTGTAAAAACTGGTAATATTTTAAAAACGGAGTTAGTAAAAGAAGATTTTTCTGTAGATTTAGCACAAGATAAACTTACTAAAATACAACATGTATATTCAGATATAAAAAATCTAGATGATAAAATTGTTGATCTGTTAACTGGAGACGGGAAAACTTTAGAGGATGATGTTGCTAAAGAAATCGAAAGTCGCGA